GAGAGCGAGGGTCAGCTCCTCGTCGTCATTGACTTGTTCAAAGTCTTCGGCCTCGGTCACCAAGTCCTTCTGCACCTCCATAGCGACGGCGGAATCACCACTCACCAAGGGTTGCTCGCTAACAGACTCCACGACTGTGATGCTCTCTTCCTCAACAGAAGGCTCCCTCAAGATATTTTGAGAATCACTTTGCGAGGACATTTTTACTACGACCGAAGGGTTTGAGGGAAAAGAGTTTTCTAAAAAAGCTAAGTCCTACAAAGAAGAACTTACTAATGGAGCAGGGGGCAAGTGGAGAACTAACATTGGAAGCTAAGATTGATCACACGACACTTTCTCTCTCTAGGAAAAATTCACTAGAGCTTCGCTACACCAAGAACGCGTGAGGGTAAACGAACCCTAGCAAGGGGTATTTATAGCCTCCCTCAATCCGGGCCTGGGCTTCGAATTGGGCCCCCAATTACAAAAGTCATCATTGCGCGCCGTCTCTTCAGCCAACCGGTGACACCCGCCCGCAGTCAGCCAACGGGTATATGCCACGTGGACACCACCTCCAACGGCTATATCCCAACGGTCATATTCCAACTGTCATGTCCCAACGGCTCTCTTTCACAGACTAAGTTCCCTCATCTGGCACCCCTCAGACAACACTGTGCTTGCCTTCGGGCTTTCTCCTTCAGACTCCTTCATCAAAAGGAGCCCCCGGTTTAACAACATGTAAACCCCTCAGGGCCCCTCAGCCCTCAGCATGTTGAAAGCCAGGGAACCCCTCATCTGTGGTTAGCCGCAGGGACAATCACCGGCATTCATCAACAGAGATCACGCCCTCAGCCTCATTGGCTGGAAGACTACCCTCGGCAGTCCCTGGGATGCTCACTCATGCTTATCAACTACGGACACCTTCGGAGGAGTGCTCCGAGCAGACACTCCCCTCAACACCTCCGGGAAATCAGCGATCAAACTCTCAGATCACGGATAGCTCTCGGCGGCATCATTGCTCTTCACCTCAAACCAAGAGCTCACCTCTTTGATTCATCATTGGGGGAATTCGATGCACTCTTTTTCCCTCATTAGGATTTTTTCCCAAAGGATTTTTCCTAATGAGGTTTTTAACGATGCATCCCCCCAAAATGAAATGAAAAGCACAAGCCTTCGGCCCCATGATGAAAGCAAGCACCCCTCTACTCCTCTTCACCACATTACATGTGCCTCAAGGAGTGGGGGACTGGAGGGCCTTTTCGGGAAATTCACAAAATTACAAATGTAAAAATTTTCCTTCGGCCCCAAAATGTGGGGGAATGAGGGACTGCCCTCGGCAAACACGCAGGCGCAAAATTCCTCACCGCTTTTACAAACTACAGCAAGGCAGCATCAGAGGACAAACACAATTACTCCTTTTCCCTCAAGTACCTTTCGGCAAAAGGAGTGTGGGACTCCTGATGGAGTATATGGCCCAGGAACCCCCCGGCCCACATACTTCCACTATTACATTCAGGCCCAACAGGCCCAAAACAGGCCAAGCCCAGCATAGTGAAGCTCTAGGTAGCCCATGAGGCATGAGGGGGGTGCCTTCAGCCCCATGGCCGAAGACCACCGGTGACAGACTAGGGCTCAGAGACATCGCAGGAGGACAAGGTTTAAAAACCAAGCCTTAGGCAATTGGAGCCCTCGGCAATATGAGGCCCCCGGTACGCAGAGCCTTCGGACTATCATCTACAGCCGAAGGCATCCTCCTCGACAGGATCTCCAATCCACATGCGCTAGATCAACGTACCAAGTACAAACGTCGCATCCAACCACCGCATTTAATGCGGCCACATGCGAATGCCAGTGCCACCCCGGTTGAGATGACCCCTCAGTCGCCAGAATGCTGACACGTGTCCCTATCTAGCTTTTATTGCTGCTATAAATAGCACCTCTTTCCCCATTGTAAAGCACGCTCAATACAATTCGAATACACACTTGAACTCTTTATCTCTCTTATTTATTTGCTCTGACTTCTTTCTAAGTTACTCCCCGCAGTAACCCCTCGGATAAGCTACCCCCGGGTACACTATCCATCAATAGGCAATATTGGTCTCATTTGAAAGATCATGAAAAAAAATGTTGATATAAATTTTATAAAAATCGGATAAAAAATACAAAAGTTATTATCATTTAAAAAAAGAGAAGTAAAATAATAATAATACCGTATGCCGGTGCTCATTTTTGAATAACTTAACTACGGGCTATTATATTCTAAATTACGGAGTATTTATTACCCTATGTAATTGATAAGAAATCATCCTTACAAGTATTGTTGAATCCATTAATACAACTTTAACAACCAATGAAGAGAAAAGAGCCCTTTGTTTTTAAAAGAGTGGAAAAGCATTTGCACCTTTACTTATAGAATTCCACATAACTAGTGCTACAGTAATGCCGTGCATAGTGACCAATGCCTCATTAATTGACCCCTCCTCCGCTAGTGACTACCACGACCACTGACTTGTCCACGCCATTGCCAGTGAACCTTCTTAGCCGCATGTAGTGACCAATGACTCGTTGTCGCTAGTGACTAGTGGTCCCGGATCGAGCGGTTCTGGACCCAAACCTTACGATTTTGGCTCAACCGATTTTTTTATACCTTAAAAAAACCAGACCGGGTCCATCCTAGAATTGGGATTGGGTTTGTCTATGGACTAGAACCGGGACCAGACCACCTGGGTCAGACCCGATCTTCCTTTAGCATTGACCAGGACTGGCTGTTTCGGGAGCACAACAGGGACAAGACCGGAATCGAGTCCACTCCTACATACTCCTCTCAAATTAACCATTTAAATGTAACATGAAGCTTATTAGTATGCACAAATAAGAATCTGTATGTATAGCCTACATGCTCGTATAACGTCGTTATACGGATTTCAATTTGTTTATTACTTCATCCGCTTTGTTAATAGTTTCGTGATGGTTTTGGTTCTGAACTCGAGGACCGATTGGTAGAGTTCAGTCCATTATGAATTGGGTTTGCATGGTAAGCTTGGTCCGAAAGGGAACTCTATGGTTCTCATCTATTACTTGTATTATCTGCATGATGTACTTGTAATGGTCCGGCGATGATGAGTCTCCTCACAACCTTGTATTGTTACTCTACACCACCTAGGACCAATAAGGTGGAGAATGTTGGAGGTATTGGTCCTACCAAGGCCTCGATTCCATTTTATTATTGACTTGCACCCAATGTTTACTCCCACTTTGTTACCCCTTATTTTAAATCTCTCCTAACCAATAATATGGTTGTTGACTTCCCTGGAGTGTGCCCCCTCTTTGCTGTCCGCTGCACCCCTCCTTGTACTCTTTTGTTTTAGTCACTCGTGAGTGTATTATTATTGTTGGTCAGCCTATTATTTATGTAGCTCTCTTCTTCCTTGAGAGAGCAGCCTGCGAGAGGTATCCCTAGAGAGCAATGCTCTACTTCTTCTTCCTTTCCTTTGTGTGAGAGTGAGAGAGAGTTACTTAGTGGTAGAGAAGAAGATTGGTGGTGAAGAGGTCATCCCTAGTGTGGTGTATGTGAGTTAGAGTGGTTGGAGACCTGAGCCGGAAAAGACGGAATACGATCCCAACACGCTTCATTAACATTAGGACTTTGCACCTTGTTTTTAAAAGTTTTTGTTTTTACACCCCCAACCCCGTTTAAAAAGACAAAAATACCCCTCGATCAGGAAAATGTTGAAGGTCAACAGAATTGTTAATGGATGAGCATTTTTGTCTTCATATGGGATTGAGGTGCAAAAGCAAAGATTTTTAAAAACGGGGTGCAAAGTCTAATTTAGACAATAAAATAGGGTACAAACTCAAATTACCCCTATTAAGAAAAGTGAGTTTATGGATTTGATATTGAATTGATAAAGTAAGAATGATTTAGAGTCACCCAAACTTTACCAAATTTGACATGAGACCATCTTAATTAGATTTTCTGAAAAGATAAAATGGGACAATTTTAACGGGGTGGAGGGAGTACATTCCCTTATTTGTAATGATTTTTTTTCGTGACCTTGCTGAGGAGGTTGTTTGCACATTAATGGATGAAACGTCAAACTTCGACACATGGATCTTAGGAACGAACCGAGCGACACATATTCCTCAAAGTGGACACATATACATCACAACTTTATTTTATTTTATTATATTTATTTATGTATATATAAATAAGGTTTTGTCATGAATATTGTTAGAAAGGAAATATTGAATAAAAAGACTTCTTTAAATTTTCAAAAATATCACCAATAAGTAATCGTATTAAACTTTCTAAATTACTCTAATGGTTTTATTTAACAGTGACATGACCCGCCCAATGGTCTAAACCTCTTAGTGACATGACTTGATCGATTAAAGTTAGTTGATCCGACCAGTTACAGTTACACAACTCTATCGGTCACACCTACCAGACCTGACCATTTACATTTATTTGGTTGATCATTTACAATTACCTTGTCTGATAATGACTATCATTGGCCAACGCCTCTGGACACCACCGATGTTCACCACCTCCGGCCACCACCGCCGCCCTCCAGTGACCAACCCCGCCTGCATGCTCTATGACAACCTATAACTGTCACTCCCCAACCCTGTACCATCACTGCCCCCAGCCCTACATCACTGTCTACAGTAATTATCTTAAATTTTGTGAAACGACAAATGGGACATATAAACCGATACAGAGGGAGCATTGTAATTAATACAATCAGACTCAAAGTCCATATGTCCAATAGCCTCACGTACACATGGAGGGTGTTTGGAGCCCCAAAAATAAGCTTACAAGCCTGAAAATAAAAAAATACAGCCAAACACAAGGCTTTTGGGTTGTTTGGGTTGAATTATCTTATCAGCCGAAAAAGCAACCCAGAGCTACTTTTTGAGCTGCAAAATCTTTAATACGAAGTATACTATTGGCTATTGTAAATACTCTTTTACCCTTTATTTTAAGCGTAATCCTTGTTTCGTTGCTTCGTTACTTCTGAAGCACCTCCTCTAGCTGCGCTGCGCCATAGGTTTATCTTCCATATCCATGACTTCCGATCGGTTGCTCCACAGTTTCGACATATCTTCCACACGACAAATGTAAGGTGCGCTGCATCATCGAGCTTGCAAGGTACTTTACTGATTTAATTCAACTGCACTCTTAATTCACATTATTTTTTCTAGAATTCAATTATCCAACTTTTTGAATTCTTCAAACTGCATATTGCAGACTATACAATCTATTAATTATTAATTAATTTGATTTTTTTAGTATAGGAATCTATTAATTATTAATTTGATTTTTTTTAGTATAGGAATCAGCGTAATAATTTGAAATGTGCGGCTGATTTCTACAATTGATTAATATAATTGGGTTTTATTATAAGTGAGTAACGATGACTTCAATCCCATTGTTGATTTATTAGCTAATAATCAAGCAAAAGTAGTTTATTAGTACAATTCACACCCATATATTTAACACAAATAAGCTAATAGCCTTTATAGTAATTTTACACACAATCAGTTATTTCAACCAATATATTACCAAACACTTTTAATAAAGAAAATTAAGTCTTTTGAGGCTTTTCAACCATTCCAGCCGATGCAGCTGTCACCAAACGGGCCCATGATGTTGTAAACGAACTGAATCAAGTCGAATAGTGTCATTTTTACTTGTATTTGTTTAATTTCTTCGAATACGAATCCCAATTCGAATATGAAACGAATATTAACTTCGATTTGTATTTGTATTTGTTTAATAATACGAATAATTAACGAATCATATAAGAATATCGAATCGATTTGATTATAAGTTATATATTAGTCAAATATCTCTTTAAAACGGGTTTTCCTATATTTTTTATGTTATAAATGCATGCTTTGACTTAATACATCTTTTTAGAATATAATTTAATTTGTACAATTACATTTTTTAAAATTTAATGGATTGATGTATTTTTAGGTTGTTCGAAATATACTAAAGTGAATCAATTTTATGATTAATATACATAAATCTTTTTCAAAGTTTTTGAAATAAAAACTAACATACACATTAGAAATTATACCTTTAATGTGTGATATAAGTTGATAATTATGTATATCAAAGTCAAATGACTCTAATTTTATGTTAGATATTTAGCACTATTGATAATAGAAAAAAACATTAGATGTATAGTTTATACTATACACACATATATAGTGAATAGTAGATGTACACACACATACTAGGCGATTGATTTTGTATATGCATAAACAAATATATTTGATTATTCTTCGAATCAAATACATAATTATCCGTATCCGTGTTTTAAATCACAATTTTTGAATCCAAATCAAGAATTGAATTGAAATTATTTGCTTCGTTTACAACTCTTACTTCGTATGATATTTCTGATTTATTACAATTGAGCGAAGAATGTGCATTGTAAATGTATATATGAGCTTCATGTGCTTAAGTTAATAGATTTTAATTTTATAGATCAGTTTAACAGGTTATTTAAATATGTAAAAAAATTGAGGGGTTTTCATAAATATTATACCCGTCCGATGCACGGGACAAAAATATGTTTTTATGTTATTTATGATATACGTAGTAATATACATTAGAACATATATTAATGTAAGATGTATATCTATTACGCAGTATATTATATGAATATTCAAATACATGCAACAACGGAGTATTTGTATAAATGTGTTTGAACTATCAAGAGCCTGTTTGGTAACACTGAAATCGGTTGAATCAGCTGATTCTGCTGAAATTTATGAAGTTCTGACTGAAGTGGCTGCATTGGCTGATTGTGCTGATTTATAAAAAAATTATATGAAAAAATAGTTAAAATGGTCATCTACAGTAAGTTCAACCAATACAGCCAGAAAAGTAACAACTTTACTTTTTTTATTATTACACAATTTGGCGTGAAATCAAAAGTTACGTGTTTGGTTAAAAAGTTGGATGATAAGCCTGATAAACCGAAAAAAGAGGTACCAAACGGGCTCCAAACACTACAAAAAAAATCGCTTGTAGTCACGGACCGTAGTCACGGTTCTAATCACGGTTTAGTCACGGATTTTAAAAAAAAAAAACAGTCACGGATTTGGCCGTGACTAACGTGTTCCGGCCAACCCAATTTCGCTTCCGGCGGGGTTTATTTTAAATTTGGAATTAGTCACGGACGGTTCCGTGACTAGTTCCGTGACTAAAGTTAGTCACTGACTTATCCGTGACTAATTCCGTGAGAAGTGCAAAATTAATTTTTTCAACGTTCCAAATTTAAAGAGCTCCGACAAATCGTACAAAAAATATGTAGTCACGGACACATCCGTGACTACGTCCGTGACTACAAGTTTTATATATGCAGCCTCCGCTTCATTCAACAAAATCACACCATCTACTCCAGATAGAATTCCAGATAGAATTGAAGGATGTAATCTACCCATCTCATATCATTTTTCCTGTTTATGCAGATAAGGTATGTAATTTGAATTACGTATTTTTTGTATGAATTAGTTGGTTCATTTTAGCTACATTAGTTAAATTAATTAATTAGCTACATTAGTTAATTAAACTTTTCTTAATATTATTAGTTAAATTTAAATTAAATGCATTTAAATGCATTAAGTAATTAAATTAAATACTTAATTAATTAACGAAATAAATTCCTTAAATTTAGTTACGTTAAACGTAGGTGTAATTTAAACATAGGGTTAATTAAGTTGTATTTAATTAATTAAAATCACGTAAATTAGTTAAATATATACATGTAGATGATATTATTAATATTAGTTAAATGTAAGTATTATTTAATTCAAATGACTTTATATATAATTAAATATAAGTATATGATTTCTTTATTAGCAATTATTGTTAAAGCGGCCTAATTTAGGATTAATAATGATTTAAATTAGGGTTAGTTAATTGAAACATTACTTAAGTATGATGATTTATGATTGTGAATTACGTAAATTAGTAAAAAAAATTATAATATTAGTTAAATTTAAGTATTATTTAATTTATATGAGTTTATTATATATATATATACTCAAATTATTGGATTTGCTCGTATTATTTAATTTAGTAAATTTTTAAATGTGCATTATTAATAAGATTAAGATGTTCATAATTTTAGTATTGTAGATTAAATGCCATTAATGTATTGTGCATGTTTATAGTTTAATAATATTAATTATTGGACGTTAGTTAATTTTAAGGGAATTTTAGTGAATTTTAGTGAAATTTAAGGGAATTAGTTAATTTTAGTATTGTGGAATAAATGTTGTTAACGTATTGTGCATGTTTATAGTTTAATAATATTAATTATTGGACGTTAGTTAATTTTAAGTGAATTTTAGTGAAATTTAAGGAAACTAGTTAATTTTAAGGGAATTAGTTAATTTTAAGGGAATTAGTTAATTTTAAGGGAATTTTAGTGAAATTTAGTGAAATTTAAGGAAATTAGTTAATTTTAAGGGAATTAGTTAATTTTAAGGGAATTTTAGGGAATTAGTTAATTTTAAGGGAATTTTAGTGAAATTTAGTGAAATTTAAGGGAATTAGTTAATTTTAGGGAATTAGTTAATTTTAAGGGAATTTTAGTGAATTTTAGTGAAATTTAAGGGAATTAGTTAATTTTAAGGGAATTAGTTAATTTTAGTATTGTGGATTAAATGTCATTAACGTATTGTGCATGTTTATAGTTTAATAATATTAATTATTGGACGTTAGTTAATTTTAAGTGAATTTTAGTGAATTTTAGTGAAATTTAAGGAAACTAGTTAATTTTAAGAGAATTAGTTAATTTTAAGGGAATTTTAGGGAATTAGTTAATTTTTAGGGAATTTTAGTGAAATTTAGTGAAATTTAAGGAAATTAGTTAATTTTAAGGGAATTAGTTAATTTTAAGGGAATTTTAGGGAATTAGTTGATTTTAAGGGAATTTTAGTGAAATTTAGTGAAATTTAAGGGAATTAGTTAATTTTAGGGAATTAGTTAATTTTAAGGGAATTTTACTGAATTTTAGTGAAATTTAAGGGAATTAATTAATTTTAAGGGAATTAGTTAATTTTAGTATTGTGGATTAAATGCCATTAACGTATTGTGCATGTTTATAGTTTAATAATATTAATTATTGGACGTTAGTTAATTTTAAGTGAATTTTAGTGAAATTTAAGGAAACTAGTTAATTTTAAGGGAATTAGTTAATTTTAAGGGAATTTTAGGGAATTAGTTAATTTTAAGGGAATTTTAGTGAAATTTAGTGAAATTTAAGGAAATTAGTTAATTTTAATGGAATTAGTTAATTTTATGGGAATTTTAGGGAATTAGTTAATTTTAAGGGAATTTTAGTGAAATTTAATATATAAATGTTCGTACACATAAAAAAGTAACATAATAATTTAGTGTATTTAGTGTTGAAATCATAATATTGGTTATTAGTTAATAATTTAAATGATTCCATTGAAATTTAATATATTAATAATACTCCATATATGTTGGTAATGTTTATAATTTAGAGTTTTTAACCTGTATAATTTTTTTATTATAATATTCAGGCATAATGTATAGACAAAATAGAATTTGGATGTATGATAAACATGCGGTATTGTACGGAATGCAATCAAATTTTCTTGAAGGAGTTGAGGAGTTTATTAAATTCGCACTTGAACACCCGGCTTATATGAGTGGTGATAAAATCATATGTCCATGTTCAAAGTGTAAAAATCTCAAATTTAAACACCCAGACGAAATTGGGTGGGATTTGTACGCGGACGGTTTCCTTCCCAATTATTATAATTGGACTTCTCATGGTGAACCTTTGGATCCATCTGTTTTACCACAAACGGTAGGTTCGTCTCGTAACGTCCCTGCAGAGATGAGTGTGTGGGGAGACCCTGCTGAAATGAGATGGGAGCAACGTATGGTATATGACGCATTCGGTGATCGATGTCTCAGTCCCCCCCCCCCCCCCCCCCCACAACCATCTAACGATCCTCCTGAAGCCTCGACCTCGTATCAACCACATGAGGATGAAAATCCGATATTTTATGAACCTTATGTGGATGAAGGTTTAGCTGAAATATTTCAAGATGTTTTAAAAACAGACGATCAACCCATGTATGCTGATTGTGAGGGATACTCTCAGATATCCGCCGTTACAGAGTTTATGAACATAAAAGCTGAATACAGTCTCCCTGAAATATGCATGACTAGAGTCTTGCAGTCAGTAGGCGGGATGCTACCACGTGATCATAACCTTCCCGATTCATATTATCACATGAAACAATTAATGTCTAAGTTGGGGCCACCTTATATAGAAATTGATGCGTGCCCGGAAGGATGTATGTTGTTCTGGAAGGATGATGAGGCAATTGAATTCTGCAAGTTCTGTGGTGGAAACAGATACAAACTTGTTCCTCAAAGTAGAAAGAAACCACGAAATAGGTCGGTATTATCTAAACTGTATTACCTCCCAATAGCTTCACGACTTCAGAGGATGTACGCTTCGACTGCTACTGCGAAACACATGACATGGCACGAAACAAATGTATGTTGATGCATTACGTTTTGGCCCAACCCACAATGTAAAATTCTTAAACCCGGACCCCTTAATAATATATTTCTCGCGTCGGTAAACATTCATTTATTTTTAAAATCATGGTGTGTTATGCATATGTTAATATGATGTTTGGTTTTGTTTATAAGAAATGATTCATATGAATTATGAAACTAAAATTGAGGTTGAGTATTATATTATGAAGTACTTTTCCTATAAATGAGTTTTGCCGATATCCTCCTCATAGAGAGGATAATTTTATGTGCTCATGTATTGATTTAAGAACATTAGTTGAGGTAAGGTGCTACAATTCAACATTATTTCCTTTAATGTCAGATGGTGAGTAAATATAATTAAATAAGTCCAAATTATAAATGAAGTGTTAATATATTTCCAAGCATTATTCTCAGGAAAATTGACTTACCTTTCTCATTGATACCAATTACTGTGTACCCATAACACTGCTTATTTTAGTTATTGTGATGTATAATAACTGGTCATATTTAGTACTTGTACCTTGTAATAGATAAGTGCTCCACCTCTAACGTATAAGTCCCTCCTTATTTTAATGTTTGCTACACTTTCCTTTTTGGATGTATTTAAAAATTTGTTACATTTTCCGTTTTAGTAAGATTTTCCTTAAAATATACTCAATTACCAACTTTTTTTCCTAATTTTTATCTTCTTTTATTTTTCCACCTACCATCTCTCATACTTTTTCTACACTATTCATTACCAATACTTTTGTCGGTCTACCAATCCACCGGACCAGTATAAGAAGTTTTATCTAGTTTTATGAACTACACCTATCGGTTTGTCAAAATACACAAATAAAACATATGTGCTGCCTTCACTACTTACAATTCAAAATGAAATCTACTCTTCATGGGTATACTTATATGATATCTTAGTCTAAATTTGCATACCTTTGCACCGTATGAAATGTATACCGAATTGTGTTTGACATCTTTTCGTGAAACAAACAAATTGTCAGTAATACTAACATATAATTAGAAACATACCTTGGTTGGACACATGGACAGAGATCATGATACAAATCCATAAAACAAATCATATATAGAAGTTGCGCATCTACTTTAATTTCCAAGAGGGTCGAGAAATTATCGTTAATTTACTCCGTGGAAACAGTTAGTTACATACATAGAGCATGTAAAAGGTGAGAACGTGATTCACCGGTTGTATACTAACTTCCGCAAACTCAGCAACGAAGTGCTAAATGTGCCCATCACGTGATAAACATACACCAGTGGCAGGAACAGTTAATGTCACACGATCCCATTGTTATATATATAAAGATTACCGAAATATAAACATATAACTAATGTACAAAAATATTACTATAATTACAATGCATAGTCACTATAGTGGTTGTGGTTGAGTTGAACACAATAAAGGTCACTGAATTTACTATATTAGTCACTAAGTCATATATTTTTGTCCACTACTTTTATTTTAGTCATATATTTGTCATTATTTCCAAAAATTTATCTAGCTTTTTTATTGTTTTAGAGGATTCTCGGTTTCGTAGGACTAAACTTGTATAGTGTACGGAGTATGAAATAAGAGTAAATTATTATTGAGATATTATCTGAAATATGACTAAAACAGTTTGAAATTTCCAAAATAGGACTGTCATGTTTTTATTCCCAAAATATGACTCATTACTGCCATGTTTTGGCAGTAACAGACTTCAAACATGACAGTATTTTCTAAACATGGCTGTAATTAGTCCTATTTTGGGAATAAAAACATGATAGTCATATTTTGGAATTTGGAACTTGTTTTAATCCTATTTCGGGAAGTTTCCCATTATTATTAGTATGAAGCAACTGCATCAATGTGTGATTATATATTAATGCAAATCAATTTGTGGCCCCAAACGAATTGCAATTGCAAATCACACATTAATTTCTGCAACGTGCAGGTGATTTGGTTGGATATTAACGTGAGCAGTTGACCCAAGACGCAAAGAAACAAAACGATTTTAACATGTCAAATTAAGTCACTCATTAATCTCCTCTGAGAGTATAACCTGCAGAAGTATCAATGGAACCATTCAAAGAATATTCTCTATTTTTTCTGGTATTAGCGCTAAATAGGAGTAAAATAAGCCCAAAATTCAATATTAGGAGTACAATCTTTTTATTCCCAAAATAGGATTAATATATCTCTTCTTCCCATTCTACCCCCTTCCTATAATTTCCAATAGATTTATTTTATTAATAAGAAAATCATAGTTTTATTTATAAAAAAATATAAAAAATAATAAAATATTTATAAAATAATAATGAAAACGTGAAAAAATAAAATAAAAAATAATAAAAATTAAAAACAATAAATAAATTATTTAATTTTTTTTAAAAAAGTCCAAAAAATAAAATAAAATACCTAAAAAATAATTAATAAATATGTACGTCACTGCCAACGTGCCCTCTACCTCCCAGCACCACCGACTCCGGTCGCCGGAAAAAAATGCCATCTTGTGTAAAAAATGCCACATTTCTCTGAAAATGCCATAAAGATGACATTTTTACTCTTTGAAAATATCCAACTTTCTCTTGCTTTCTCTTCAAAATTGCCATCATGATGACATTTTTTCCCCAACTTGGCAATCTTTTCCGACGACCGGAGGTGGCGGTGCTGGAAGGTGACTGAGGTGGTGGTTGAGGTCTATATATTTTTTAATTATTTTTTACGTTTTTTTGTTTTTTTATATTTTATAATGATTGTTTCAAAATCATATTATCAAGGACAAAGGAAATGGTAGAATAGGAAGAGTTAGTCCTATTTTAGGAATTTAAACTTTAAACTCCTATTGTTGCAATTATACTTTTATTGACTCCTATTTAGGTGAATATCCTTTTTTTTCTTTTGAACAATTGAATGAATGGCAAGGGAAAACGTAGATGGCGGTTTTATATTCTTTGATCGTCCGGTTTTCGTGAAATTGTACCGCATTCATAATGTTTTATTTTGCTTTTGCTTTTTAGACAACGGTTTAGAAATGGAAAAGGCTTAAATTAGTATTTCCTTCGTCCCAATTTACCTTTGCTTTATTGGTTATTTCAAAAAAATGTCACATTTTTTTTCATTTTGGGAAAAAATGTGATCTACAGCATTTCACTTTACTATATACTCAAAATACAATTATAACTTTTACCTTTTCAACCACATCATTAATAATTGTGGCAAACCAAAATAAGACACATAAAGCGGGATGAAGGTTGTAACACCCGGCCCCACAAGACCCGATGTAGTTACTTCTTCACAAACTAGCATGAGTCTTTTCCTTGTTATGTGGCTGCCATATAGAGGGGAAATCATGTTGAGATAACTGTTATATGGTGTGGATTCAAAAAAAATCAAGAAAACCTATAAACATGAGTATGGAATCATTTGTAGTAAACATATTTCACTTGTTGAGATTAATCATTTGTCTTGTTGAGATTCATCGCTGGAATCATTAAATCAAGAGATACAAAGAGCAATAAAATGCAAGAAGCTTAGAAAGAATTTGAACTGACATTGTGTGTTGTAACTAATGAGTGAATATTATAGTCCATGTGCAACATGAGAAAAAAAGCTTTAAAGAGATAATATATCAAACACTACAAGTGTGAATCAAACTTTAATTTCATTTTTGAAATGTCTTTGAGAAGCACAGTGATAATTCATAGTACTACCCAGACGGAACATCTCAGTACTAGAAAATAGATAAACTGCAAATATTATTCCATTTAATCGTATAGGATTCTACGAACATGACCTAAGTTTTCTTCCACATGCAGCCCGTTGTGTTCTAAATAACCAAGTTACACATACACTTGCCTTGCATAAGCTTCCCGTCGTAAGGAAGGATGGAAGATGGATGATTGTGAAAAAAATGAAAAATTATATTGAATAGATAAATAAATGAAAACTCACGGTAGGATTGGAGAAGGAATTTTAGATTAACTGTCTGGCTGGCCAAGTCAGCCCCACACCCGAACTAATTGCCTCTTTATATGATGATGTGTCCACATTTATAGCCTTGAAACCCACGTCTCTATTAGAAATGTTCTTATATTGCTCATAAATGTGAGATTTCATCGCCATGAAAAGCCCAATACCAAAAGTTTAACTCAAACCCCCATTTATGCATGTCAATTTTTACATCTGATTGGTTCTTGTAGCTATGATTTCAATGTTTTGTATAAGAACACTTAATAACACCCTTGTGAGCGAACAAGGGTTGTGCACATTCAAAACTCACAAATTGATCCATCCCAACTACAAATTTCAGGGATTGACCCCATTAAACATTCACTTTCGCACATATTTCTTAAATATATTGAAATCCTGAAATTAAAATAATAATGATTTCATATTCTACGATTCTAATGTAAGTATTTTCATTAGTTTCATAATCTATACAACAACTTTTTATAAATTTTAAGCAACCAATTAAAGTGTGTCTTCCCAAAATTATTACACACTACATCACAATATAATAATTACATCAAAGAGTGTCATCCCAAAATTATTACACATGACATGGATTATACTCAAAATAAAAACAAAAACAATTATATTCATAATAAAATTAATTATAATGATAGAATAAAAAATTTAAATAGCAATAACAACATGTCAGCATACAAGCACAAGTTACACATATGCATAATATTATTGCAAAATAATCTCAATACTATTACAATACATAATGTTGTAGAAAGAAAGTTTTATAAAATGTCATTATTTGAATATTTTTTGAGTTAGGCAATAAAAGAAGGCTACAAAAAATGACTAAAACTAACCTTGTAAATGGAAAAATAAGCTTCAATCACCGGTTCGCCCGATTGAAGTGCCAGTTTGGATCATATTGGACTATTGATCTAGAAATAATAAATTTAATAATAATTACACACACATATGACTAAACTAAACATGATTTAAAAAAGTATGATCTCCTTAATGTAGTGACTATAACATATTAGCATAGTCATAGCATTTTATGTTCAACTTTTATACTTAAGTTACTATTAAA